GCGAAAAATTCTGGGAGACTTCCTCTATGCTAAAAAAGGTCACAGTGACTCTGCCTGACCGTCAGAGAATGTTTGATGAGATCTTTTTGTTTTTTTAAAGAATTATTTATTCTTTAATTTTTTAATTCATTCATTTAAATTTGACCGGAGAGAGGGAAAGTGAGAAAACAAGCCACCAGGTCCAGGACTTGAACCATGGTTGGCCATATGGAAGTGTCTAATGCCTTAACCACCACGCCACCACGCCACCTGCTGCCCCCTAAAACTACTTTTCTTGAAATTACCAGCTGAACTTGCTATCGAATATATATATATATATATAATGAGGTTTAAAAAAAATATATATATATATATGTGTGTGTGTGTGTGTGTGTGTGTGTGTAGAAATGGAAAATTATTGATGATAATATGCATGATTAAGCCACTATGCAGTATATTATGGATGGAAAATCACATTTTTTATACCGTGACAATGTTCAGGGAATGAATGTGAATTAATTAATTAAGGAAAAATTTTTCAGAAAAAAGAAAGCTCATGGAAATATATGAAAAGGGAAACTATGTATGAATTTCAAAAAGTTTTTGTACCATAATAAATTCATACTTTAATTGTAAAAAAATAAAATAAAATAATAAAAAAGAAAGACCTTACTATGTAAACTATAATCAGGTATTAAAAAACATTTGAAGTAATTATAGAAATATGTCACACATATACTTTAAATATTATGTTTGTTAGGAAATTTCTGTTTATAAAGTACTTTTAATGTACTAGATAAGGATTACTTGAGAACGTGAGTTATTCTGATTTTAGGTGAAATCTGTGACGATTGCCGAAGGACTCATAGAAGACCATTTTGATGTCACTGTGAAGATGAGTACCTACCTGGTGGCCTTCATCATTTCAGATTTTAAGTCTGTCAGCAAGATGACCAAGAGTGGTGTCAAGGTGAATTTGTGGTTGTCATATAGGGTGACAAGGTTTCTCTGGTTTGCCTGGTTGTCCTGGTTTTAAAACTGAAAGTTTTGCATTCTGGGAACCTCCTCAGTATTAAGCAAACTGGGATGGTTGATGGCTCTGTTTCACAGATGCTCATTTTTACATGGAGGTTCTAATAGCAGAAATACGGAGAGAGGCTGGCTGGCCTGGGTCATGGTCCTACCATGGCTTTACCACTACCTGACTCTGACTTTGACCCTCTCCCTTGGAGCTTAGTGTATACCGTGTAAGTTGGACTAGATCCTGCAGTGGTTCCTAAGGTTGCTTCTGACTACACCTTCCTGCAGTTTGGAAGTGAATGTCACTGACTCTCTGAGTAGATTTCTGGCTCTGGGAAGGAAGTAAGATTGAGAAACCAGCTTGGAGTAGTAACAGACTTTGGGGAAGCCATTTATAACATACTTTGGGGAGAGCATTTAGACCAGGAAATAGTGGAATGTGGGAGAAAAAGATCTTGTTTGAAGGAGCACTTGCCTGGTCTGGGTACTGTTGTACAGTAGATGACCTATACAACTGTATGCCATGGCCCACCATGGCTGTAGGCTTCTTGATGGAGAGGAAGGGACAATTTGAAGATACCTCTGGTTTTCACCTAGACATCTGGGGCTTCCCTGCTGATATGCTTTCGTTCCTATACTGCTAAGTCTTCTTGTCCTTTATTTACCTGGGGACTTGAAGGTGATGGCTGAGAATTGGATGAAGAGAACACCGAAAATCCAACAGTGAAACAGCAGAAACACCTATCCTTTGTTTTGTTCACATTTCCAAATCTTTTAGAAATGATTTTTTCTTTTATATAATTCATATGACTAGATTTAATTTTTTCTTTTATTTCTCAAAATACATTAAACATACATATTAATTCTATATCTGGTATTCATCTCATCTGAAGTCTTTATCTCATTCTGTGGTTTGCTGTTTTGCAGGCTCTTGCTCATGGTATCTTGTTTCTTTGTATATATTGCAAATTATGTCTGTGAACTTATGTTACCTGAGTAAAAGGTGGATTCTTCCAGAGAAAATTTGTATTTACTTTTGTAGAGTAATTGGGAATAATTTCCAGCCTAGCCAATACTTTAAATTAAATTACTGGTTTCAGGTTTTTGGATTTCTTGGTAATTTTTGAGTTCAGCTGCATGAGGGTTACTTTTTTTTTTTTTTTCAGGTTTTTGCCATAGGGTTTGTGTGCGCACTGAAGAGAAACACAGAGAGACAGAGAAAGAAAGTGAGAAATCACCTTCCCAGGGAGGATGGCCACACCTCAGTCCTTTTTCTATTCACTTTCTGGGATTTGGGGCATGCATGCACATGTATCTGGCATAATTTACAAGGCACCAGGTCTGGGACTTGAACTACAGTCAGCCATGTGTGAGTCCAGCACCTTAACTTCCACGTCACCTCTGCTGGACCCTAAGGGTTACTTTTAGCTACACATACTCTTTTTTTTTTTTTTTTTGGAGAGATTTTCACTGTAGGGCGTGTGCGCTCGCCAGACAGACAGAGAGACATGGAGACAGAAAGCGAGAAATCACCCCCCAGGGGGGATGGTCACGCCGCAATCCCTTCTCCTCCATTCTCCTCTCGGGATCTTGGGCACGCACACACATGCACCCGGCGTGAGTTTTAAGCCACGGGTCCCGAACCGCGGTCAACCACGTGGGAGTCCAGCGACATAGCCATTACGCTAACTGCTGGTTCCCACTACACATACTCTTAAGGAAATTTTCTCATTCTTGTCTATATAGTACCAAGGTTTGAATAAAGTGTTTTTTTCCAGGAAGTTTCCTTAAGAAAGGGGTGATTATTCCTTCTTTATTTTTCTACTAAGGGTATGGCCTTTGGGATCCAGCTTTATTGGGCAGGCCTGGACTTTGCCTCTTGTTCCTAGAAACCTTCAGTGCCATCAGAACCAAAGCTTAGGTCCACCGTGGTGGGCTGGCTGTAGCGCTCTGCTTACTGGTAGGTCTGATGGTCACTTTGATTTTGGCCTCTAACTCTTTCTCTTTTGTCACTTTATAAACACATTTAAGAAGACATTTTTCCTATGTTACCTAGCACTCATAATTGTTTTCAAAAAAGAGTGTGATCAGGAAACAGTGTGAATGTAAGACATGCAGTTCCCAATCACCTTCTTAAATATTGGCCACCAGATCCCACTGTATGTAGTGGTAATGCCCCTGCTCTATACAGCGGTGGGGAGAAACCACTGAAATTTGAATACCTTCTTTGTACCTTTCTCTCCAGGTTTCGGTATATGCTGTACCAGACAAGATAAATCAAGCTGATTACGCACTGGATGCTGCTGTAACTCTTCTAGAATTTTACGAGGATTATTTCAGCATTCCATATCCCTTACCCAAACAAGGTAGAGGTTTTGCACAGATACTGCCATGTAGCATTTGGTGACCCATCATATATTATGTCCTTACAAGCTGCTGCATCCCCATCGTTATCTCAGCAGCTCCCAAAGTTTTAAAAACCTAAACAAGTATTGGACATTGGCTGATGGTTCTGGCATGTCCTCACCCTGGTCTACATAGTAAACTTCTAATGATAGCAAAAGCAGATCACGTGGCAGTTCCTGAGGCATGTGGCATGGGTGCTGCTTTGCTATCTGGCTTTATCTATGGGCAGACAACAGAGGACAGAGGCTGCATCTTTTTTTTTTTTTTTCATTATTAGCACATGCTTGGTAAGTGCATGGAGACTGATCAATAAACTTTTTGAATGGGTACATTTACACAGTGTGAAAATCTCCATATAAGCCCTTAAAGCTATTGCATGTTTAAATTTTTAGGTACGGGTGGGTCTTGGGCATCCAAAATAGAGTGGATTAGAGTACAGAGGCCTGGGACTCAGGCCCGCCTTTGTCATGGTCATAGCAAAGTGATTCTGAATCACTGAGCTCCTTTTTCTCCATCATGAAAGGTCCTTCCTGTCTGGGGCTATAATTCTGTACAGGCAGCTTAACTTTTCCTTTGGTGCAAACACCCATGCATTCCAAAGTTTAGTGTGTTTGGGGCACTTATAGCTTGGCAGTTGGTAATGTATTTTATTTCTTCCTTCCCAAGATCTTGCTGCTATTCCCGATTTTCAGTCTGGTGCTATGGAAAACTGGGGACTGACGACGTACAGAGAATCTGCTCTGCTGTATGATGCAGAAAAGTCTTCTGCGTCCAGTAAACTCGGCATCACAATGACTGTGTCCCACGAGCTCGCCCACCAGGTAGACGCACTCCATCACTCACTCTTTAAACAGTATATCTAAACCACGTTTAGATTGCTTTTATAGAACCTAGAAGTCCATTTATATTTTTATCATTTTTACTTTGTCTTCTTTTCTCTTAGGAAAAATATTTCATTAAAGCATTAGGTTTCAAGTTTTATAATACATGTTGAAAGGTTTCTATGTTTAGTTTGATAAAATCAAGATAAATCAAGCCAATTTATTAAATATTAGCTCTGTAAATATGTTAGCATTTCTAAACTGCCATTAGATATCTAAAATGTATTTTTTCCTGAATTGTTTTTGTTCATGGCCGTCCTGGTACGTAATAGATAATGCAGTCTCTGTAGAAATGTGCGAATAAACTGAATGATGTTTTCTTTTCAGTGGTTTGGAAATTTGGTCACTATGGAATGGTGGAATGATCTTTGGCTAAATGAGGGATTTGCCAAGTTTATGGAATACGTGTCTGTCAGTGTGACCCATCCTGAACTGAAAGTTGTAAGTAGTTATTAATTTTTTTACATTTCAGGTTAATTTGTTGTTTTGTTCATGTTGTCATAAAATATTTACTGATCTTTAATTAAAAAACTCATAGAAAGATTTTACTGGTAACTTCCTTGGGAGTTTAGGTAGAAATGATATTTTGAAAATGTTAATGAATATTCTGGGCCAGCAGGTGGCATAGTCGTTAAGGCAGCTGGACTCTGCATGGCCAACTACATGATTTGGGTCCCAGACCCAGCAGCTTGAAAAACACATTGGCGGAGCAGGAGGCCGGCATTGGGCAGCAAGTGGTACAGTGTTTAACGTGCTGGACTCCTACATAGTTAACCACAGTTTGAATCCCAGACTCAGTGGCCTGAAATTCATGTTGGGCACATGCTCATGCACACCCATGATCCTGAGAGGAAAATGGAGGAGAAAGGACTGTGGCATGGCCATCCGCCCAAGGGATGATTTCTTGCTTTCTGTCTCTCTGGTGAGCACACATGCCCTATACAAAAAATCTGTTAAAAGGAAGGAAAAAAAAATAAAGGGAAAAATGGAAAGAAAAGAATAGAAAAGAAAAAAAAATGCTGGTGGGAGGGCAGCAGGTGGTGTGGATTCCTACATGGCTGACTGTGGTTTGAGTCCCAGACCTGGAGACTTGCTTTCTCACTTTCTCTCTCTCTCTTTGTCTTTCTCTGGTGAGCACACACGCCCTGTAGCAAATTAAAATAATAATAATAATAATGATAAATAAAATTAAGTAAATAATCCTTTAAAAAATTTTGGAAAAGAAAAACGCTGAATGTGTGTGTGCGCAAACCCCAAATCCGAAGGAAATACTGATAGAGAAAGGTTTGTGGTGTGGCCATTGCCCTGGAGGTGGGGGGTGCTTTCTCACTTTCTCTCTGTTCTCCCTCTCTCTTTCTGTCTCTCTCTCTCTCTGTCTCTCTACTTCTCTCTGGTGAATGTACATGCCCTCCAGCAAAAAATAAAATAAAATAAAATAAAATAAAATAAAATAAAATAAAATAAAATAAAATAAAATAAAAAGAAAGCTGGTGAACTTTCAACATATAAAACAAAGGCTTATTTCCAGGCTCAAATGTGGATCTGTGATTTTACAAAAATTTTAAATGATCTTCCCTTGAGAATACTATGCACATTATCGTCAACAGATAATAACCTATTTCTTTGTCCCATAAATGCCTTGCCTCTGGGACCAGCAGTTAGTGTAATGGCTATATCGCTGGACTCCTATGTAGTCGACCACGGTTTGTGTCCCGGACCCGGTGGCTTAAAACTCACGCTGGGCTCGTGTGCATGCGTGCCCAAGATCCCGAGAGGAGAATGGAGAAGGAATAGCGGCATGGCCATCCCCCCCGGGGGGTGATTTCTTCCTTTCTTGCTTTCTGTCTCTCTGTCTCTCCTGTCTGTCTGGCGAGCGCACACACCCTATAGCAAAAAACCTCCCCCCCCCAAAAAAATACCTTGCCTCTCTATTTTTCTCCTTAATGTCAACTGGACTGGTGAGAAATGCATATATGTTGGAATATTCATTTTGCAAGCTAAGTGACATATGTGATTGAATGTATAAAAATTAAAATAAAAAGTATAAAAAATTATCTTCCCTTAATATTAATGAACTAGAAATAATGACAGCCTGAACATTCCATGTAATTTCTCCAAACTTCAGCGCATTGTAGAAGTACTAGCTATAGTTTGCTATGATCTCAGTAGGACCCTACTTGCCAAGTTAGATGAACTATTCTTAAGGTAACTGCATATTTAATTACATATTAAATGAGTCATGGGTCACAAGTTTAATGCTCATGGGTTACACATGTAATGCTGTGGAACTGCTATTTGTTTATTTTAAAATCACTTGTCCCTTTTTTTTTTTTTTTTTTCCAGAGGTTTTTGCCTTAGGGCCTATGCACTCACTGTAGAAACAGAGAGGCAGAGATAGGGAGAGGGAAAGTGAGAAATCAACTCCCCAGAGGGATGGCCATGCCAACAGTCCCTTCTCCTCCATTCTCCTCATGGGATCTTGGACATGCACACACACGCGCCCCTTGTGATTTTCAAGTCATTGGATCCAGAATTCCAACCATGGCCTCCCATGTGGGAGTCCAGCGACCTAACTGCTAGGCCATCTGCTTGCTTCCAAAATTATGTGTCTTAAAACAATCACATGCAGCAAAATTAACTTATTTTATGTAAAAAAGATTCTTTACCATGCTTCTTTTCATTTGCACTTTTATTTCTCATTTTGATCTTCTCATATATGTAATTTATTTATACATACTTATAATTATGTAGTACATGCCATTATTCACAATGATATATACATATCTTATTTATTTTCCAAATAATGGATCTTAAATATTTTCCCATTCTTTGACATAATCTTTGATAATAAAAGTGATCATGGATATGAATTATGCTTTTGGGTAAATGTGCCCTAATAGAATAGACCAGGGTTGGAATTTGTTCTCTTTTTTTCTTGTACGACATGATTTTAAAACTAAATATTTTTGCATTAAAATAGCCCAGATGTTAACTGAAAATAGTGAGATCACTTTACATTTTGGTTTCATGTTTTGTTGTAGTTTTGCTTTAGGAATGATGGTTTTGTTTGTAGGTTGATATGAAGTTATTTTTATTCTAACATGATAAGTATTTAAAATAAGCAAAATCTATGTTTACTTAAAAATCGTTGTTCTTGGGAAACCAGCAGTTAGCGTAATGGCTATGTCGCTGGACTCCCACGTAGTCAACCGCGTTTCGAGTCCCAGACCCGGTGGCTTAAACTCACGCCGGGCACGTGTGCGTGCGTGCCCAAGATCCCGAGAGGAGAATGGAGGAGAAGGGATTGCGGCGTGACCATCCCCTCTGGGGGGTGATTTCTCGCTTTCTATCTCTCTATCTCTGTCTGTCTGGTGAGCGCACACGCCCTATGGCAAAAACTTCTCCAAAAAAAAAAAAAAAGTGTAATGCTAAAAAAATCGTTGTTCCTGGAATGCTTTTTAGAAAATAGTAATTCTACTTTGTATTCTAAATACTAGAAATATGGAATGAGTTGGCCCAGAAATATGAAGTATATCCTCATTACCCCAGATCAAATCTATCTCCTTTTATAATTTTTATCAAAATGTAAATCATAGTTAATACTTTATTTTTTTTGTCTTGATAGGAAGATTATTTCTTTGGTAAATGTTTCAGTGCGATGGAGGTAGATGCCTTAAATTCTTCACACCCCATTTCCACACCTGTGGAGAATCCAGCTCAGATTCGGGAGATGTTTGATGACGTGTCTTATGAAAAGGTAAACATGGATTATAAGGCTACAGCTTGGGCACTAAACTAATACGAAATGGGTGCAGTGGTATGCTGTGAGGTCTCCCGGTGCCCAGAGCAGTTGTAACTGAACCGTGAACCTGCAAATCTTGGATTTAACATATGACCATAAAGAATCAGAAACCCAAGGGAATCAGGGGTTCCTGCTCTGCAGAGCCCCATCCTAGTGAGGCTGTTTTTGGAGTCTTTGTGATAACCAACGTACCGGATATGGCCGCAATTCTGAACCCTAGGCCTCCACAGGAGCAGGTGGAACCTGTGGTTGTGAAAGTGGAAGAGGAGGAAGAAGGGAAATGCCTTCCTGGACTGGAGATGTTCTGGCAGCGTTTTGGGTACCATGACACCCCTGGGTCCCGGGAAGCCCTGAGCCAGCTCTGGGTGCTCTGCTGTGAGTGGCTGTGACCTGAGATCCATACCAAGGAGCAGATCCTGGAGCTGCTGGTACTGGAGCAGTTCCTGACCATCCTGCCCCAGGAACTCCAGACCTGGGTGCAGGAGCACTGCCCACAGAGCGCTGAAGAGGCTATCACTGTCCTGGAGGATCGGGAGTGGGAGCTGGTGAACCAGGACTGCAGGTTTCAGCGCCTCCAAATGGACAGAAACAGGTGTGGGAGAAGAGGTCATCTTCAGGAAGAGAAAAGGTGTCCCCAAGCAATGAGCAGCCACAGCCTGTGGAGACCCGTCACAGCTATGAACCTTGGGGGGCCCTATACATCCAAGAGACTGGTGAGGAGCAGGATTTCCCTCAAGATTCAAGAAGGAGTCAAGATTATAAATCAAAATGTCCAGAACGAGGAATCGGCAGACGAGCAGAAAAGTTCTGAAGAAGAATTTTGTGCAGATGGACTCAATAGGGATATCATTCCTGTGATTATTGCCGACAGATGTGAAGTCAGGGTAGAAAAGCAGGGGGTAAACCTTGAAAAGGAAAGTGGAGCAAAAGCCTCTCTTTAAGGCACAGGTTCCAAGACAGGTACAGAATCAATTCCTACTAAACCTATGCCAGGAGGGAGACGCTGCATATGTGAAGAATGTGGAAAAGCCTTGAGTAATAGCTCAGAAATTACTAACACAGGAGAACACACACAGGGGAAAAACCTACTTGTGCACCAAATGTGGGAAGGCTTTTAGCCACAGCTCAAACCTTACCCTTCATTACAGAACGCACTTGGTGGACCAGCCCTATGACTGTAAGTGTGAAAAAGCCTTTGGTCAGAGCTCAGACCTCCTTAAACATCAAAGAATGCACACTGAAGAGGCGCTGTATCCATGTAAAGATTGCAGCGAGGCTTTCAGTGGTAAAGGCAGCCTCATTGGACAATATCGAATCCACACTGGGGAGAAGTCTTATCAGTGTAATGAATGTGGGAAGAGCTTTAGTCAGCATGCAGATCTTAGTTCACACCAAGGACTCCACCCTGGAGAGAAGCATATATGTGTAAGGAGTGTGGGAAAGCCTTCAACCACAGCTCAATTTTTAATAAACACCATTGGATCCACCCTGGGGAAAAGCCCTGTTGGTGTGATCATTGTGGAAAAACCTTCTTAGCAAGTCAAATCTTTCCAAACATCAGAGAGTCCACACAGGAACTCGAGTGAGAGGTACTGTAACAGTCAAAGATGCTGTTTTGGTTTTGCTTTTTAAACTTTAGAATGTAAACACTGGGACCAGCAGTTGGTGTAATGGCTATGCCGCTGGACTCCCATGTAGTTGACCACAGTTCAAGTCCCAGACCCAGTGGCTTAAAGTCATGCCAGGTGCATGTGTGTGTGTGCCCAAGATCCCGAGAGGAGAATGAAAGAGAAGGGATTGCGGCGTGGCCACCACCCCGGGGTGATTTCTCGCTTTCTGTCTCTCTGTCTTTCTCTGTCCTTCTGGTGAGCACACACACCCAATAGTAAAAAAACCTCTCCAAAAAAAAAAAGAATGTGAGTGCCAGGGAGCAGCCCTGTAATCACAACTGTATCAACTCCAGTGCTAGGTTTTCCTTTATTTGGCATCAAGTAGAGCCTGAGGAGTGAGAGCTCCACAGAGGCACTGTGGTTATCCAACACCATCATGGCAGACAGATGGTCCTCAGAGAGTGCTGTGGGTTCCGCACGTTCCAGCTCCCTGGGACAGGTCCTCTCCCCACTCCTGTCCCAGTGAACCATGTTGGCAGTGCCCTTTGTGTAGTTAACTGATGTGTATCCAGCATAATTTAGGAGAAATATTAAAACTATTCAACTGTTTAACACATATTGAAGACTTATAATTTGTAAAGAATTGGACACAATTTAATCAGATTCAAAATAAACTTATTACATCTTAAAAAAAAAAAAAAAAAGAACCGGTGGAGAGATTATAGCTAAGGTGATGGGGTGACTTTCCCTTCCTAAGGGCCGACGCAGGTTGAATGCCTCCTGTCTTGGCCCACACTTGGCTAGAGTTCATTCTTCTAAACCTAACTTGCAGTTTGGCTCATAATCCTAAAGTGTATGTCATGATCAATTCTTCATGTACTCCTCTATTGGGTTGAAAAAGCATGGTCTGTAGAAACACTGCCTTTTACACATCATTCAACAGATAGCGACTGACTGGCGTTAACTTTGTACTAAGCAAAGAATTGCTTCCCTTGTGTAGCTTCAGACATGGGAGCCGCTGTTCGACCACACAGTCCTCTCTTGCAGTGTGTTCCAGTAACATGGTTGGGAATTGTTGCCAACGTTTACTAATGGGAAGACTTACATATACAAGTCCAATGTTCGGGCTTCTCTTGGGGAAAAGGGGGGAGGTTTTGACTACATTGGGCCTATGTTTCCTTTGGTAAAATAATCTGGGGCTAAATAGTAGCTCCTTTCTCAGAAATTAAGCTTCTGCATTTTCACTTCATCTAGCCATTCCTGGCTGTTTCTCTTGTCTGCTCCTCACTGAGGCTGAGGCTATGGTAGTACCATTATCATTGGGGTTGGCCGTTGTCCTTGCAGCAAACAGAAAAGTATTTCTTGCTTGCATGTTTCCACCCCAAGTGCAAAGACTTCTTTCCTCATTTACATCACCTGCCACATATCACCGTGGGCATTTGTGACCCAGCACCTCTGGGAATGGGAGTAGAGGGGACAAGAGCTCTACAGGGGAGTTGAGTTCCTGCACTGTCTTGTCCCCTTTCTCCGCATTACTCTAGACCCTCGGCCTCTGTGCCGGAGGCTGCCCGAGCTCTCTGTATTCACCCACTGTTCCTGACCTAGGAGTGCCCATGTGGTGCTCTACTCCTGCATATCTATTGCTTCCTCCTCCTGCTCCAAAGTGACAGTGGTCGAGCAAGGTGGTGAGCCAAGGTCCGATGTTTATCCTGCACCATTGTCCACTCACATGTGACTATAGGGAGGTGCCGAGGATGCTAATTTGCTCAACAAGAAAGTTCAATATTGATGGAAATTAACAGCTCCATCTGGTCTAAGATATAAACAATCATAATAGACAGACATATGCCTAGGAAGGTGCAGGTTTGACTCCCTTACTTTATGTTACAATTGCTAGACATAAAAGCTATTTCAGGGGCCAGCAGGTGACATGGTAGTTAAGGTGCTTGATTCCCACATGGATGACCACAGTTTGAGTCCTAGACCCAGTGGCTTGAAATTCACACTGGGTGCGTGTCCATGTGTGCCCAAAATCCTGAGAGGAGAATGGAGGAGAAGGGATAGTAGCATAGTCATTCCCCCAGGGGTGATTTCTCACTTTCTCTCTCTCTGTCTCCAGCAAGTGCACACACACTATGATGAAAACTTAAAATAAATAAGTAATAAATAAAAAGTGTTACTGCAGTTGCATTTAAAAAGAATTATGACAAGATAAAATGTGATTAGATTAGATTAGATTGCAACCAAAACACAGATAACAATTATTTCCATTCTCTTTTCAGGGAGCTTGTATTTTGAATATGCTAAGGGATTATCTTTCTGCCGATGCATTTAAAAATGGCATTATACAGTACCTCCAGAAGTATAGCTATAAAAACACAAAAAACGAGGACCTCTGGAATAGCATGGCAAGTGTGAGTATGTTTTGCGTGTCTCTACATTTGGGATTGACAGGCTTATTATCTTGGGTGTTTTGTTTGTTTTCCTGCATTATATTAATCCCACTGAAAAGAAGCGTTAATTTTTTTTCCTACAGAAATGAGAGTGATATGTTATTTTCTGTTTTTAGATTTGTCCTACTGATAACACGCAAACAACAGATGGCTTTTGTTCTAGAAGTCAACATTCATCTTCATCCTCAGTAAGTTCCTGCATCTGTACATTTTCCTCTACACGCATTGTTTCTGCTCCGTATTCTTTGAAGCACACACAGTTCTGTGCCCAAAACTTTTTGAGGTCCTGGTTACATCACCCTCCTTGCAGATAGGGCTGTATTTAAACGCTACCTGACTGACAGATTTTTACCTTTTCTCTTAGAAATATTATGCAGGAGCATTGCACAGTTTGGTAATTGTTCTCACTGGTCCTAATTTCTTCAGCTCCACTCTCTGTAAAGCGGTGGGTTTGTGACATGTTTCTAGGGTGGGTCAGGGCTGCATTAGGTCAGTCAGGAGGATGTGTTGATCATCTCTGGAGCTCTGCATTTGTGAAAAGCCAAACAATGCTGTGAGCATTCCTACATTCTTGCTGTGGTTCGAGCACATGCTTAATGCTGAGGTATGTTATCTCTTTACTCTCCATGATAACCTTCTGAAGCAGGTACTGTTACTATCCTGATTTTTCCAGTCGGGAATAAGAAATCCAGAAGCATATAGTTGGTGTATTGCTGAGCAGAGATTTGAATTTAGATCTAACTCACATTTTAAACTGCTAAGCTATGAAGTATTGATAGCTGAGTCACAAAAGAATCTGAGTTCCTGTTTATCTGGTGGTGTGGAATGTGTTCATAGGCAGCTGAATCTGGAGGTGTCATAGAATTTTATCTACCATATTTTAATTTTCTTGGTGTTTTTTGTTTTTGGAGATTGCTTTATTTGGTTTCTAGATTTCTCCTGTAGCGTATTTTACCCTTTCACTATCTTTTAAATATTTTCTTAAAAGCTTTTCAGAGGGTCAAAAAAACCCTCTAGACCAGCCTGTAGCCTGTTGGTTAAGGGGGCTGGATCCTACATGGCTGAGCATGCAGTGCTAGTACCAGACTTAGCAGCTTGAAAAAACATGGGTTTTGTTTGTTTGTTTGTTTGTTTGTTTTCCTTGTATGTGTGTACATTCCCCAAATCCCAAAAGGAGATAGAAATGGAGGAGAAGGGATTGTGGCATGACCATACCCAATGAGGGGTGCTTTTTTCTCTGTCCCTCTTTTTTCTTCATCTCCTTCTGGTGAGCATATTCACCATGTGGCAGAATTTTAAAAATATATCCCCTTTGTTGAATATGACCTATTTCTGCATTATCACTTCGGAAGCACAGATCTTAACCAAACATATTTTTCCTACCTTGCTTGTCTGAGAGCCAGTAGTTATGTAGGCGTTTGAAAACTTGGCCATTTTCTCTCCCTTCATTCATTCTTTCACTCATTCATCCACATGCCTGCTTTGTGCCTGGTGCTATGCCAGCCCTGAGGTGTGCCCAGCAGAACCAGATAAGCTACTTCCCATGCAGGGAACCAGCAGTTAGCGTAATGGCTATGTCGCTGGACTCCCACGTAGTCGACTGCGGTTCACGTCCCGGACCCGGTGACTTAAAACTCACGCCGGGCACATGTGCGTGCATGCCCAAGATCCCGAGAGGAGAATGGAGGAGAAGGGATTGCGGCGTGGCCATCCCCCCTGGGGGGTGATTTCTCACTTTCTGTCTTTCTGTCTCTGTCTGTCTGGTGAGCGCAAGCGCCCTATAGTGAAAAACCTCTCAAAAAAAAAAAAAAAAAAAGACACCCATGCACAGTCCCATCTCTGTAGTACAATTGGAGGTAAACTTGCATTGCAGGAAGCCACGTGTTGACCAAGGGTTCAGATCCTTGAATGGGCATGAAAAAAAAATAAAAGAACATGGTGGTGTTTTTGAGTCAAAAACCAGGTTCCTAACAAGCTTGAGGGTTGGAAAAAGGGAATTGTGCTTCTCTCTGTTGTGCACATGCACACACACATGCACTATCATGAGTAAATAAACAAACTCTTATAAAGACATACATGTGTGATGGAGGAGAATGAAAAGTCAATAGTTGGTGCTGTAATGAAGCGTGATGGGAGGAGAAGGGAGCTGGGACAGGACTGAAGAGCAGAAGGGACCAGGAAGAGCCCCACAGAGGAGGCCATCAACTAGGGCTGACCCTTGAGCACAGACTGCCATTCTGTCTTTCTTAAGAGCTGAGTCTAAGAGGTGATGCATCTACCCGTTTCTGTATAAAACAGCACTGGCGTCAGGAAGGCCTGGATGTGAGAAGCATGATGAACACCTGGACGCTGCAAAAGGGCTTTCCTCTGGTAACCGTCACAGTAAGAGGGAGGAACGTGCATGTGAGGCAAGAGCACTATATGAAGGGATCTGACGGTGTCCCGGAGACTGGGTAATGTTCATAGATAAGACTCGTTTTGTTGCATAGGTAACATCTGCCTTGGATGAAATCTTACTTTTGAAATAGTGCCTTTACCTCTATTACTAAAATATTTCAATAGAATCTATATAGTCTACAAAGTTGACTTTTACCTCCCATCTTCCCAAAGGACTAAAGAGGCCTTAAATCTTGGTTAATCTCAGTAAAGCTGATGATCCATATACTTATTTTAACATTCTTATATTTTGTAGTTTAACAGGATGTCATTTCTAGTTACTGGTTGGAAATCAGCTCCAATCTGAGTGACTGCCACTAAATTACAATAATGTCTGGCATTTGGGTTTGTGCAAAGGATAAAAAGATTTAGTTGATTTCTGTGAATTATGAGAATCGCAATTCTCTTCTCTGAACATCTGAGTTAGATCCTGAAGACAGTTTGTCAGCTCATGGCTTCCAAAGGATATCACTAGAGAAAACAATCTGCAACTTGACTGATCACAGATGGACATGATATAAATCCGTTTTTTAAACCTGGTAATAGTTTTGGATTTATGGAAAAGTTGCAATGATAGTGCAAAGAATTCCTATATATGCTTGACCCAGTTATATGATAACTGTTTGCCCTTTTGCCTTTATCATTCCTTTGCTCTCTCGTATGTGTGCGTTTATATGGCATAATTTTTTCCCTGAACTATTTGAGAGTAAGTTGGAGATATATGCCCTTTGCCCCAACATGTTTCAGTGTGTTATTCCCTTAAAAACAAGAACATTTGTTTACAATTGTTTACATTTGTTACATAATTATCAAAATTAGAAAATGAACTTGATATAATACCATTTATCTATGTTACTGTTAATTCCACTCAATTTTGTCCAATTGTCTTAAAAATATCTTTATAACAAAATAGAAAAATATTCTGGCCTCAGATTCAGTACAGGAGGATCACATGTCATATTTAGTTATTTTTTTGAACTAATTAATTTTTCTTCGTGTTTCTTGATATTGATATTTTTGAAGAGTAAGGGCCAGTATTTTATAGAATGTCCTTCAGTTTGGGTTTTCTATGGTTTCTTCATGATCAAATTCATATAATACACCACCAGCGGGAATTCCACAGA